TGATTTAGCAACTATTAGGAATATTTGCAATTTTGAAATTTAAAGAAAATTTTGCTAGAACATGTAACTGTACCTTTTTCCGTAGCACCCCATCCGGAGACGATAGCCGATTTTCCCGTTAGGTCGTCATTAATTTCGCTCACCGGAAGACATATCGGTTTAATATTGGCTGAAATCATTTGCACATTACTAGACGTAATACTAAACTAGTTAAAAATTTTGACGATAAAAATCTGCAACGCTGATAAAATCTGTATATTTGTGAAAATTGGTTTTCATTTTATTATTGGCCTATTATAAATTCATTACAAGAAAAGGGTCGGAGCTATATACTAATTATTCAATTCTACTTACAATAACTAAAATTTGCATTATAGTCTAGCCTTATCAACGCTATATCATTTGTGTATGTCCGTTTGTTATAGTTCGGATGAATCATCATCTTTTCCGCTCGGAAATCTTGCACTTTTGGAGCGCAGTATCCTTCTTCGCAGTCCTCCGTGTTTCGTAAATCGTATTCTCCTAGCCTAACTCCAATTCTAAAACAATTAAAATAAACACTCGACTAATTATAAATACCACGTAGTTATTACACCATTTCCAATTATTTATTTAGCTCGGATATTAAAACCTATCTACTTTGAAACTTTTTTTGCATTTGCAATTAGGAAATAATGAATCCATTACATCATATATTTAAGTACCGATATTAACTTTAAGCAACATGAGAAATGATTAACTTTCCAGTCAAAAGATATAAATAAATACAGTGTTTAAAATGTTGAAAAAACAATAAGGAGTGTTTCAAAATTGTAGTCAAGATTTCAGGGAAACATTTTCAACATGGAAGAAAGACTCAACAAACGCTTCGTTGCCGATCCATAGAGTATTATGGTTCGCCTTAGTAACGATTACATTTTCCATTGTTTCGTCAAAAGTTTTAATTAGTAAGTGAAGACCATGAGTGAGTAAGTATTGCAGATGCAAATAAATTACAACGGAATAAAAAGTTTGTAAACAAAATTGAAAATTGGCTTTCTGTATTAGAATTGAAATGCGAAGAAAAAGGAAAATGTGCATTCAAAAACGCTTTAATTTTGAACCAAATACCTCAAAAACCTATAACAAATTAGTGGGAAAACAGGTCTTATTTCAACATGGAAGCATGGGTCCCCAAAATCTTGTTGATGAATTTGTTAACAATAAGAAACTAAATTCTTATAATAGTCGATTATAAAAAAAAACATCGCCAGTCGAAAAATATTCGAAACTCCTGATCGGGGTGACTATGATCTCTCTCCGACCGAGATTTTGGTAATTAAATATATTCACGTTCAGCTTTAAGTGAAAACTTTAATTCTTTTAACTTGTTTAAGTCTTAAATTTATTCAAATTTTATAAAAATAGCACGTCTGAATTTGAAGTTACTTATTCATATAGTCGATTTCAATTATAGCTATTACTACTTTAGTGCCTAGTGTTAATAGAGACGCCAGCACCTAAATAATTACAAGTCAGCTACTTACATAGACATAGTATTTATAATACAATGTGCTGCGGTGAGTATATATCTGGCATTTATTAGGGTACCTCCACAACGAAAATCTATTCCATCTCCTAGAAATAAAATCAATTACTATATTGCGCGATTTTATATTTTCATCCAACTTAGCTTTCGTCTTAAAAAGTGATTTGCCTAATTTATTTTTAGATCATACTTTCAAAATTAATGGTCATCGTAGTGACAAAGTGACAAAAATTCGATACAATTCTCTTGGTTATATTATTTAATGATTCAAACACAGATATGTTTCTAAACATATGTAATGGGTGTTTTTTACCAATGTATAGAACTTTAAGTTGGCATAACTGTTCAAGATGGCGACCGATTTAACAGCTGTCAAGTGATTTATTCTCGCACAAACAAAACTGCCGCATTTGGAGCGAAGCTAATCCTCAAGTGTATGTCAAAGCACAGTTAGGGTAAACTTGCCTAAATCGCACTTGCGCGTAAATCGTACCACCTAAATTACTCAGAATTTATAAAACATACAGCGGCATCTGTCGGTGATTACTTGAGTTAGTGCTAAGCTAACCAGCTGTGGTGCTCCGAAGCAGTGATTCCTGTGCGAGATGTAATTTTACTGATAAAAGTAAGTTTTTTTCAGTTTTCTTGTAAAATTTTAGCGTTTTTTGTAAGCGTTTTTTAAGAATTCTATAAACATAATATTGTGAATCATACGGTTTTCAAAAATTGCATTTCTTTACAATTCATTTGGTGGTAGAATTAGCGCGCAGCGTTTTCTCATAACCTAAAAGCGTTAAGTGTATTTTGAAGAGGACTTTGAGCGTAAATCGTACTTTATTATACATCCTAATTCGTACCGGTACAAATTAGTAATACGAAATGAAATTGTTTTCATTTTGGTTTTAACCAATCAATTTCTGTTTATACATATTTGTTAAGTTTTTAATTTTATCATTTTATGAGAGGAAAAAATAAAAATAATTTTTTTTAGCACACAATGGGAAAACGACAATATAATAAATGGTGTATGGAAAATATTAATGCAGCAATACAAGATTTTAATAATGGGAAATTACGATTCAATGAAGTATGCAGGACATATGGTATTCCAAAACCGACCTTTCGACGTCATTTAAAAGGTCTAATTTCTCAGAAAAAAATAGGAAAACCAAGCGATTTGACGGAGCAAATGGAGACCGAATTGGTTCATCACATTTTGGATTTGGAGTCTAGATTCTTTGGGTTAACTATCACAGATTTAAGACATCTAGCATTTCAGTTGGCAGAAAAATACAAACTTCCGCACCGATTTAATAAGGTGCAAGAGTTAGACGGTTGGAAATGGTATTACAAATTTATGAAAAACCACCCAGAAATTGCCTTAAGAATGCCTGAACCAACATCAATGGCACGATGTAAAGGATTTAACAAAAACATTGTATCAGAATTTTTCGACAAATACGAAAAGATTCTAGAAGATTTCCAATTTGGACCTAACGAAATTTTTAACATGGATGAGACAGGTCTTAATACCGTTCATAAGCCTGCTAAAATATTAGCGTTAAAAGGAAAACATCAAGTCGGAGCAGTCACTAGCGGAGAACGTGGAATTAACACTACATGCGTTTGTTGCATGAATGCTAGTGGAGACTTTATTCCTCCAATGTTCATCTTCAAACGCAAAAGAATGACGGATATCCTTAAACGTGGTGGCCCGCCTAAAACGCTGTACACTTGTTCTGAGAGTGGGTGGATTGTCGCTTCAATCTTTGTCGAATGGTTACAACATTTCATAAATCATTTAAAATTGGAAAAACAATTGAATCATAAAATTCTATTAATATTGGATGGACATACCACACATACTAAGAATCTAGAAGCCATAAACCTTGCTAGAGAATACGGTATCGTAATGTTTTCTTTGCCGGCGCACACAACACACAAACTACAGCCTTTGGATAGATCATTCTTTAAGTCATTAAAAACTAATTTTAACAAAGAATGTGCAGTTTGGATAAGAAATCACCCTGGTGAAACATATCTGAAATTTTGGGAGTGGCATATCCTAGATCGGTTTGTATGGACATCGCTATGAAAGGTTTTGAAACTTGTGGATTGTGGCCTTGCAACAGGCATCGAATACCAGATGAAAAATATGTCGTGCTCGATGAAAATGAAATGACCCAAACTGATATGCAACTTTCGGATCCTGGTCCTTCCACAGCGAATGTTTCTTCAAATGCACACGATCAAACTGACGCATCCATCCGCACGGTTATTGAGAATTTGTCACCAATATATCGACTTCCACCGCAAACATCTAAGAAAACAAGCAAGGCCGTAGTCCGTACTGAGAGTCCATATAAAAATATGTTAGAAAATAAATTAGATGGACCAACAAAACCAAAGAAACGCTCTTTAATAGAAAAGAATTCTAATACTTGGTATTGCATTTTATGCCGCAAAGATGAAGAAAAATCAATGATTCAATGCATCAAATGCAACATATGGGTGCACGACAACTGTGCAGGTGTAGGAAAAGCCACATATTCTTACACTTGCCAACATTGCATCAGAAGTACGATTTAGGAATAGTGCGGTACGAGTTAAGACATATGGTCTTAAATCGTACTTTTTTCATTATTTTTTAAATATTTTATTTTGAGTAGTAAAACAGGGTTTCTTTAAGTATTAACACATGTCTAATGTTTATTCTATTAAAGTTTTAACAACCAAAATTTCATAGTGTTTGATGCATTTTTGAGAAATCTACAACAAGTTGTTCAAAACTGGTACGATTTGGGCAAGTTTACCCTACATCCACAAAAACTGACAGTTTGGTGCGCTTTATGGGCTGGTGGAATCATTGGTATAGAGCTATGATTACTAACTCATTCATCCCTGAATTGAATAACCATGATGTCGAAGAGATGTGGTTTCAACAAGACGGCGCAACATGTCACACACCTCGTGCCACAATCGATTTATTGAAAGACACGTTTGTTGACCGCCTAATTTCACGTTTTGGACCTGTGAATTGGCCTCCAAGATCTTGTGATTTAACACCGCTACTTTCTGTGGTGCTATGTAAAGTCATTGGTCTATGCGGATAAGCCACAAACGCTTGACCATTTGCAAGACAACATTCGCCGTGTTATTGCCGATATACGGTAACAAATGTTGGAAAAATTAATCGAAAATTGGATGTCTCGATTGGACTACATCCGCGCCAGCCGTGGCAATCGTATGCCAGAAACCATATTTAAAATGTAATGCCACAAGATTACCTTTCGGATAAATAAAATTCATGTCAATCGAATAATCCATCGTTGTTTTATTGCAACTTAAAGTTCTATACATCCAAAAAAAACACCCCTTACTTATAATAGAAAAAAACATAACGCAGCAATTTCTAAGGTTTTTTTTTAAATTAGCATGGGTTATATAATACCAAATAGCGGCGGTTGTAAAATGTAAATGTGTAATGTAATATAAAATTAATCAGTAGATATTTAAATTTTCTATAAAAAAATCTTTAAGCGTACCTGTGTTGTATGCTATGAGGGCCATCCATGGAAATTCTTCCAATCCTGTTTGCTTTAAACGACATTCATTCTTCCATGTTATCCAAAATCCATTGGATATAACTCCCAACCCTGGTGTAAATACCCGGTTGCCCATCGGCACCGCATTGTCTCGGGCCAAATGATACAATTCCGTACTGTATGTATCTAGGCGAGCCGTCAACAAGTCCGACATACTTCATCGGTCCACCGCTGTCTCCTCCACATGAGTCTCTACCATTGTATCCACCGGCACATATTTGCTGATCCGTAATTGGAGCAAACTGTTGGTACACTTTATGACAAACAGACAGTGTCAACACGGGTACTGATACTTTGAGAAGTATGGGGCTTTTGTAACCTAAAATCATTTCCGCTCATCACAATGTCGCTACATATAATAAATATGGAATACAATAAAAAATGATAGAATTAAAATTAGTTTAAACTGTATGTTTCAAACTGCAGAAATTTTATGTAACGGAAAGCCTTCCTAAATAAAAAGTCACCCGAACATTTCCATGAAAATGCGAAATAATTTTCGTTAACTTAAATAAAAATACTACTTTTTCGCAAAAAATTTAGGTCTTGAGTTTTGATTTTTTCAATTACCCTTGTTGTCGCTATGGAAAGAGTTGATCAACAGCTGTTACACTGATTTAGCAACTATTAGGAATATTTGCAATTTTGAAATTTAAAGAAAATTTTGCTAGAACATGTAACTGTACCTTTTTCCGTAGCACCCCATCCGGAGACGATAGCCGATTTTCCCGTTAGGTCGTCATTAATTTCGCTCACCGGAAGACATATCGGTTTAATATTGGCTGAAATCATTTGCACATTACTAGACGTAATACTAAACTAGTTAAAAATTTTGACGATAAAAATCTGCAACGCTGATAAAATCTGTATATTTGTGAAAATTGGTTTTCATTTTATTATTGGCCTATTATAAATTCATTACAAGAAAAGGGTCGGAGCTATATACTAATTATTCAATTCTACTTACAATAACTAAAATTTGCATTATAGTCTAGCCTTATCAACGCTATATCATTTGTGTATGTCCGTTTGTTATAGTTCGGATGAATCATCATCTTTTCCGCTCGGAAATCTTGCACTTTTGGAGCGCAGTATCCTTCTTCGCAGTCCTCCGTGTTTCGTAAATCGTATTCTCCTAGCCTAACTCCAATTCTAAAACAATTAAAATAAACACTCGACTAATTATAAATACCACGTAGTTATTACACCATTTCCAATCATTTATTTAGCTCGGATATTAAAACCTATCTACTTTGAAACTTTTTTTGCATTTGCAATTAGGAAATAATGAATCCATTACATCATATATTTAAGTACCGATATTAACTTTAAGCAACATGAGAAATGATTAACTTTCCAGTCAAAAGATATAAATAAGTACAGTGTTTAAAATGTTGAAAAAACAATAAGGAGTGTTTCAAAATTGTAGTCAAGATTTCAGGGAAACATTTTCAACATGGAAGAAAGACTCAACAAACGCTTCGTTGCCGATCCATAGAGTATTATGGTTCGCCTTAGTAACGATTACATTTTCCATTGTTTCGTCAAAAGTTTTAATTAGTAAGTGAAGACCATGAGTGAGTAAGTATTGCAGATGCAAATAAATTACAACGGAATAAAAAGTTTGTAAACAAAATTGAAAATTGGCTTTCTGTATTAGAATTGAAATGCGAAGAAAAAGGAAAATGTGCATTCAAAAACGCTTTAATTTTGAACCAAATACCTCAAAAACCTATAACAAATTAGTGGGAAAACAGGTCTTATTTCAACATGGAAGCATGGGTCCCCAAAATCTTGTTGATGAATTTGTTAACAATAAGAAACTAAATTCTTATAATAGTCGATTATAAAAAAAAACATCGCCAGTCGAAAAATATTCGAAACTCCTGATCGGGGTGACTATGATCTCTCTCCGACCGAGATTTTGGTAATTAAATATATTCACGTTCAGCTTTAAGTGAAAACTTTAATTCTTTTAACTTGTTTAAGTCTTAAATTTATTCAAATTTTATAAAAATAGCACGTCTGAATTTGAAGTTACTTATTCATATAGTCGATTTCAATTATAGCTATTACTACTTTAGTGCCTAGTGTTAATAGAGACGCCAGCACCTAAATAATTACAAGTCAGCTACTTACATAGACATAGTATTTATAATACAATGTGCTGCGGTGAGTATATATCTGGCATTTATTAGGGTACCTCCACAACGAAAATCTATTCCATCTCCTAGAAATAAAATCAATTACTATATTGCGCGATTTTATATTTTCATCCAACTTAGCTTTCGTCTTAAAAAGTGATTTGCCTAATTTATTTTTAGATCATACTTTCAAAATTAATGGTCATCGTAGTGACAAAGTGACAAAAATTCGATAAAATTCTCTTGGTTATATTATTTAATGATTCAAACACAGATATGTTTCTAAACATATGTAATGGGTGTTTTTTACCAATGTATAGAACTTTAAGTTGGTATAACTGTTCAAGATGGCGACCGATTTAACAGCTGTCAAGTGATTTATTCTCGCACAAACAAAACTGCCGCATTTGGAGCGAAGCTAATCCTCAAGTGTATGTCAAAGCACAGTTAGGGTAAACTTGCCTAAATCGCACTTGCGCGTAAATCGTACCACCTAAATTACTCAGAATTTATAAAACATACAGCGGCATCTGTCGGTGATTACTTGAGTTAGTGCTAAGCTAACCAGCTGTGGTGCTCCGAAGCAGTGATTCCTGTGCGAGATGTAATTTTACTGATAAAAGTAAGTTTTTTTCAGTTTTCTTGTAAAATTTTAGCGTTTTTTGTAAGCGTTTTTTAAGAATTCTATAAACATAATATTGTGAATCATACGGTTTTCAAAAATTGCATTTCTTTACAATTCATTTGGTGGTAGAATTAGCGCGCAGCGTTTTCTCATAACCTAAAAGCGTTAAGTGTATTTTGAAGAGGACTTTGAGCGTAAATCGTACTTTATTATACATCCTAATTCGTACCGGTACAAATTAGGAATACGAAATGAAATTGTTTTCATTTTGGTTTTAACCAATCAATTTCTGTTTATACATATTTGTTAAGTTTTTAATTTTATCATTTTATGAGAGGAAAAAATAAAAATAATTTTTTTTAGCACACAATGGGAAAACGACAATATAATAAATGGTCTATGGAAAATATGAATGCAGCAATACAAGATTTTAATAATGGGAAATTACGATTCAATGAAGTATGCAGGACATATGGTATTCCAAAACCGACCTTTCGACGTCATTTAAAAGGTCTAATTTCTCAGAAAAAAATAGGAAAACCAAGCGATTTGACGGAGCAAATGGAGACCGAATTGGTTCATCACATTTTGGATTTGGAGTCTAGATTCTTTGGGTTAACTATCACAGATTTAAGACATCTAGCATTTCAGTTGGCAGAAAAATACAAACTTCCGCACCGATTTAATAAGGTGCAAGAGTTAGCCGGTTGGAAATGGTATTACAAATTTATGAAAAACCACCCAGAAATTGCCTTAAGAATGCCTGAACCAACATCAATGGCACGATGTAAAGGATTTAACAAAAACATTGTATCAGAATTTTTCGACAAATACGAAAAGATTCTAGAAGATTTCCAATTTGGACCTAACGAAATTTTTAACATGGATGAGACAGGTCTTAATACCGTTCATAAGCCTGCTAAAATATTAGCGTTAAAAGGAAAACATCAAGTCGGAGCAGTCACTAGCGGAGAACGTGGAATTAACACTACATGCGTTTGTTGCATGAATGCTAGTGGAGACTTTATTCCTCCAATGTTCATCTTCAAACGCAAAAGAATGACGGATATCCTTAAACGTGGTGGCCCGCCTAAAACGCTGTACACTTGTTCTGAGAGTGGGTGGATTGTCGCTTCAATCTTTGTCGAATGGTTACAACATTTCATAAATCATTTAAAATTGGAAAAACAATTGAATCATAAAATTCTATTAATATTGGATGGACATACCACACATACTAAGAATCTAGAAGCCATAAACCTTGCTAGAGAATACGGTATCGTAATGTTTTCTTTGCCGGCGCACACAACACACAAACTACAGCCTTTGGATAGATCATTCTTTAAGTCATTAAAAACTAATTTTAACAAAGAATGTGCAGTTTGGATAAGAAATCACCCTGGTGAAACATATCTGAAATTTTGGGAGTGGCATATCCTAGATCGGTTTGTATGGACATCGCTATGAAAGGTTTTGAAACTTGTGGATTGTGGCCTTGCAACAGGCATCGAATACCAGATGAAAAATATGTCGTGCTCGATGAAAATGAAATGACCCAAACTGATATGCAACTTTCGGATCCTGGTCCTTCCACAGCGAATGTTTCTTCAAATGCACACGATCAAACTGACGCATCCATCCGCACGGTTATTGAGAATTTGTCACCAATATATCGACTTCCACCGCAAACATCTAAGAAAACAAGCAAGGCCGTAGTCCGTACTGAGAGTCCATATAAAAATATGTTAGAAAATAAATTAGATGGACCAACAAAACCAAAGAAACGCTCTTTAATAGAAAAGAATTCTAATACTTGGTATTGCATTTTATGCCGCAAAGATGAAGAAAAATCAATGATTCAATGCATCAAATGCAACATATGGGTGCACGACAACTGTGCAGGTGTAGGAAAAGCCACATATTCTTACACTTGCCAACATTGCATCAGAAGTACGATTTAGGAATAGTGCGGTACGAGTTAAGACATATGGTCTTAAATCGTACTTTTTTCATTATTTTTTAAATATTTTATTTTGAGTAGTAAAACAGGGTTTCTTTAAGTATTAACACATGTCTAATGTTTATTCTATTAAAGTTTTAACAACCAAAATTTCATAGTGTTTGATGCATTTTTGAGAAATCTACAACAAGTTGTTCAAAACTGGTACGATTTGGGCAAGTTTACCCTACATCCACAAAAACTGACAGTTTGGTGCGCTTTATGGGCTGGTGGAATCATTGGTATAGAGCTATGATTACTAACTCATTCATCCCTGAATTGAATAACCATGATGTCGAAGAGATGTGGTTTCAACAAGACAGCGCAACATGTCACACACCTCGTGCCACAATCGATTTATTGAAAGACACGTTTGGTGACCGCCTAATTTCACGTTTTGGACCTGTGAATTGGCCTCCAAGATCTTGTGATTTAACACCGCTACTTTCTGTGGTGCTATGTAAAGTCATTGGTCTATGCGGATAAGCCACAAACGCTTGACCATTTGCAAGACAACATTCGCCGTGTTATTGCCGATATACGGTAACAAATGTTGGAAAAATTAATCGAAAATTGGATGTCTCGATTGGACTACATCCGCGCCAGCCGTGGCAATCGTATGCCAGAAACCATATTTAAAATGTAATGCCACAAGATTACCTTTCGGATAAATAAAATTCATGTCAATCGAATAATCCATCGTTGTTTTATTGCAACTTAAAGTTCTATACATCCAAAAAAAACACCCCTTACTTATAATAGAAAAAAACATAACGCAGCAATTTCTAAGTTTTTTTTTTAAATTAGCATGGGTTATATAATACCAAATAGCGGCGGTTGTAAAATGTAAATGTGTAATGTAATATAAAATTAATCACTAGATATTTAAATTTTCTATAAAAAAATCTTTAAGCGTACCTGTGTTGTATGCTATGAGGGCCATCCATGGAAATTCTTCCAATCCTGTTTGCTTTAAATGACATTCATTCTTCCATGTTATCCAAAATCCATTGGATATAACTCCCAACCCTGGTGTAAATACCCGGTTGCCCATCGGCACCGCATTGTCTCGGGCCAAATGATACAATTCCGTACTGTATGTATCTAGGCGAGCCGTCAACAAGTCCGACATACTTCATCGGTCCACCGCTGTCTCCTCCACATGAGTCTCTACCATTGTATCCACCGGCACATATTTGCTGATCCGTAATTGGAGCAAACTGTTGGTACACTTTATGGCAAACAGACAGTGACAACACGGGTACTGATACTTTGAGAAGTATTGGGCTTTTGTAACCTAAAATCATTTCCGCTCATCACAATGTCGCTACATATAATAAATATGGAATACAATAAAAAATGATAGAATTAAAATTAGTTTAAACTGTATGTTTCAAACTGCAGAAATTTTATGTAACGGAAAGCCTTCTTAAATAAAAAGTCACCCGAACATTTCCATGAAAATGCGAAATAATTTTCGTTAACTTAAATAAAAATACTACTTTTTCGCAAAAAATTTAGGTCTTGAGTTTTGATTTTTTCAATTACCCTTGTTGTCGCTATGGAAAGAGTTGATCAACAGCTGTTACACTGATTTAGCAACTATTAGGAATATTTGCAATTTTGAAATTTAAAGAAAATTTTGCTAGAACATGTAACTGTACCTTTTTCCGTAGCACCCCATCCGGAGACGATAGCCGATTTTCCCGTTAGGTCGTCATTAATTTCGCTCACCGGAAGACATATCGGTTTAATATTGGCTGAAATCATTTGCACATTACTAGACGTAATACTAAACTAGTTAAAAATTTTGACGATAAAAATCTGCAACGCTGATAAAATCTGTATATTTGTGAAAATTGGTTTTCATTTTATTATTGGCCTATTATAAATTCATTACAAGAAAAGGGTCGGAGCTATATACTAATTATTCAATTCTACTTACAATAACTAAAATTTGCATTATAGTCTAGCCTTATCAACGCTATATCATTTGTGTATGTCCGTTTGTTATAGTTCGGATGAATCATCATCTTTTCCGCTCGGAAATCTTGCACTTTTGGAGCGCAGTATCCTTCTTCGCAGTCCTCCGTGTTTCGTAAATCGTATTCTCCTAGCCTAACTCCAATTCTAAAACAATTAAAATAAACACTCGACTAATTATAAATACCACGTAGTTATTACACCATTTCCAATCATTTATTTAGCTCGGATATTAAAACCTATCTACTTTGAAACTTTTTTTGCATTTGCAATTAGGAAATAATGAATCCATTACATCATATATTTAAGTACCGATATTAACTTTAAGCAACATGAGAAATGATTAACTTTCCAGTCAAAAGATATAAATAAGTACAGTGTTTAAAATGTTGAAAAAACAATAAGGAGTGTTTCAAAATTGTAGTCAAGATTTCAGGGAAACATTTTCAACATGGAAGAAAGACTCAACAAACGCTTCGTTGCCGATCCATAGAGTATTATGGTTCGCCTTAGTAACGATTACATTTTCCATTGTTTCGTCAAAAGTTTTAATTAGTAAGTGAAGACCATGAGTGAGTAAGTATTGCAGATGCAAATAAATTACAACGGAATAAAAAGTTTGTAAACAAAATTGAAAATTGGCTTTCTGTATTAGAATTGAAATGCGAAGAAAAAGGAAAATGTGCATTCAAAAACGCTTTAATTTTGAACCAAATACCTCAAAAACCTATAACAAATTAGTGGGAAAACAGGTCTTATTTCAACATGGAAGCATGGGTCCCCAAAATCTTGTTGATGAATTTGTTAACAATAAGAAACTAAATTCTTATAATAGTCGATTATAAAAAAAAACATCGCCAGTCGAAAAATATTCGAAACTCCTGATCGGGGTGACTATGATCTCTCTCCGACCGAGATTTTGGTAATTAAATATATTCACGTTCAGCTTTAAGTGAAAACTTTAATTCTTTTAACTTGTTTAAGTCTTAAATTTATTCAAATTTTATAAAAATAGCACGTCTGAATTTGAAGTTACTTATTCATATAGTCGATTTCAATTATAGCTATTACTACTTTAGTGCCTAGTGTTAATAGAGACGCCAGCACCTAAATAATTACAAGTCAGCTACTTACATAGACATAGTATTTATAATACAATGTGCTGCGGTGAGTATATATCTGGCATTTATTAGGGTACCTCCACAACGAAAATCTATTCCATCTCCTAGAAATAAAATCAATTACTATATTGCGCGATTTTATATTTTCATCCAACTTAGCTTTCGTCTTAAAAAGTGATTTGCCTAATTTATTTTTAGATCATACTTTCAAAATTAATGGTCATCGTAGTGACAAAGTGACAAAAATTCGATACAATTCTCTTGGTTATATTATTTAATGATTCAAACACAGATATGTTTCTAAACATATGTAATGGGTGTTTTTTACCAATGTATAGAACTTTAAGTTGGCATAACTGTTCAAGATGGCGACCGATTTAACAGCTGTCAAGTGATTTATTCTCGCACAAACAAAACTGCAGCATTTGGAGCGAAGCTAATCCTCAAGTGTATGTCAAAGCACAGTTAGGGTAAACTTGCCTAAATCGCACTTGCGCGTAAATCGTACCACCTAAATTACTCAGAATTTATAAAACATACAGCGGCATCTGTCGGTGATTACTTGAGTTAGTGCTAAGCTAACCAGCTGTGGTGCTCCGAAGCAGTGATTCCTGTGCGAGATGTAATTTTACTGATAAAAGTAAGTTTTTTTCAGTTTTCTTGTAAAATTTTAGCGTTTTTTGTAAGCGTTTTTTAAGAATTCTATAAACATAATATTGTGAATCATACGGTTTTCAAAAATTGCATTTCTTTACAATTCATTTGGTGGTAGAATTAGCGCGCAGCGTTTTCTCATAACCTAAAAGCGTTAAGTGTATTTTGAAGAGGACTTTGAGCGTAAATCGTACTTTATTATACATCCTAATTCGTACCGGTACAAATTAGGAATACGAAATGAAATTGTTTTCATTTTGGTTTTAACCAATCAATTTCTGTTTATACATATTTGTTAAGTTTTTAATTTTATCATTTTATGAGAGGAAAAAATAAAAATAATTTTTTTTAGCACACAATGGGAAAACGACAATATAATAAATGGTCTATGGAAAATATGAATGCAGCAATACAAGATTTTAATAATGGGAAATTACGATTCAATGAAGTATGCAGGACATATAGTATTCCAAAACCGACCTTTCGACGTCATTTAAAAGGTCTAATTTCTCAGAAAAAAATAGGAAAACCAAGCGATTTGACGGAGCAAATGGAGACCGAATTGGTTCATCACATTTTGGATTTGGAGTCTAGATTCTTTGGGTTAACTATCACAGATTTAAGACATCTAGCATTTCAGTTGGCAGAAAAATACAAACTTCCGCACCGATTTAATAAGGTGCAAGAGTTAGCCGGTTGGAAATGGTATTACAAATTTATGAAAAACCACCCAGAAATTGCCTTAAGAATGCCTGAACCAACATCAATGGCACGATGTAAAGGATTTAACAAAAACATTGTATCAGAATTTTTCGACAAATACGAAAAGATTCTAGAAGATTTCCAATTTGGACCTAACGAAATTTTTAACATGGATGAGACAGGTCTTAATACCGTTCATAAGCCTGCTAAAATATTAGCGTTAAAAGGAAAACATCAAGTCGGAGCAGTCACTAGCGGAGAACGTGGAATTAACACTACATGCGTTTGTTGCATGAATGCTAGTGGAGACTTTATTCCTCCAATGTTCATCTTCAAACGCAAAAGAATGACGGATATCCTTAAACGTGGTGGCCCGCCTAAAACGCTGTACACTTGTTCTGAGAGTGGGTGGATTGTCGCTTCAATCTTTGTCGAATGGTTACAACATTTCATAAATCATTTAAAATTGGAAAAACAATTGCATCATAAAATTCTATTAATATTGGATGGACATACCACACATACTAAGAATCTAGAAGCCATAAACCTTGCTAGAGAATACGGTATCGTAATGTTTTCTTTGCCGGCGCACACAACACACAAACTACAGCCTTTGGATAGATCATTCTTTAAGTCATTAAAAACTAATTTTAACAAAGAATGTGCAGTTTGGATAAGAAATCACCCTGGTGAAACATATCTGAAATTTTGGGAGTGGCATATCCTAGATCGGTTTGTATGGACATCGCTATGAAAGGTTTTGAAACTTGTGGATTGTGGCCTTGCAACAGGCATCGAATACCAGATGAAAAATATGTCGTGCTCGATGAAAATGAAATGACCCAAACTGATATGCAACTTTCGGATCCTGGTCCTTCCACAGCGAATGTTTCTACAAATGCACACGATCAAACTGACGCATCCATCCGCACGGTTATTGAGAATTTGTCACCAATATATCGACTTCCACCGCAAACATCTAAGAAAACAAGCAAGGCCGTAGTCCTTACTGAGAGTCCATATAAAAATATGTTAGAAAATAAATTAGATGGACCAACAAAACCAAAGAAACGCTCTTTAATAGAAAAGAATTCTAATACTTGGTATTGCATTTTATGCCGCAAAGATGAAGAAAAATCAATGATTCAATGCATCAAATGCAACATATGGGGGCACGACAACTGCGCAGGTGTAGGAAAAGCCACATATTCTTACACTTGCCAACATTGCATCAGAAGTACGATTTAGGAATAGTGCGGTACGAGTTAAGACATATGGTCTTAAATCGTACTTTTTTCATTATTTTTTAAATATTTTATTTTGAGTAGTAAAACAGGGTTTCTTTAAGTATTAACACATGTCTAATGTTTATTCTATTAAAGTTTTAACAACCAAAATTTCATAGTGTTTCAAGTTGTTCAAAACTGGTACGATTTGGGCAAGTTTACCCTACATCCACAAAAACTGACAGTTTGGTGCGCTTTATGGGCTGGTGGAATCATTGGTATAGAGCTATGATTACTAACTCATTCATCCCTGAATTGAATAACCATGATGTCGAAGAGATGTGGTTTCAACAAGACGGCGCAACATGTCACACACCTCGTGCCACAATCGATTTATTGAAAGACACGTTTGTTGACCGCCTAATTTCACGTTTTGGACCTGTGAATTGGCCTCCAAGATCTTGTGATTTAACACCGCTACTTTCTGTGGTGCTATGTAAAGTCATTGGTCTATGCGGATAAGCCACAAACGCTTGACCATTGTTATTGCCGATATACGGTAACAAATGTTGGAAAAATTAATCGAAAATTGGATGCCTCGATTGGACTACATCCGCGCCAGCCGTGGCAATCGTATGCCAGAAACCATATTTAAAATGTAATGCCACAAGATTACCTTTCGGATAAATAAAATTCATGTCAATCGAATAATCCATCGTTGTTTTATTGCAACTTAAAGTTCTATACATCCAAAAAAAACACCCCTTACTTATAATAGAAAAAAACATAACGCAGCAATTTCTAAGGTTTTTTTTTTTAAATTAGCATGGGTTATATAATACCAAATAGCGGCGGTTGTAAAATGTAAATGTGTAATGTAATATAAAATTAATCAGTAGATATTTAAATTTTCTATAAAAAAATCTTTAAGCGTACCTGTGTTGTATGCTATGAGGGCCATCCATGGAAATTCTTCCAATCCTGTTTGCTTTCCAGAGGTAATCCTGGAATTCGTTGCGATGGAACCGCATACATTTAATGGTAAGAGGTGAAAATTCTTGTGACTTCTAAATCTAGCGAATGCTAGAGGAATTTTCTCCGCCAGCTGAGAAGACGATTCAGTGGTTGGCGGCGCAGGAGCAGTGTTTCTAAAATTAATAAAATACAAATGGGAAAAGCGAAACAACAAATAAATTGTAACTATAAAAAGCAGCATGATACATACGTGACACAACAAACTTTTGGTTTAATCTTATTATTCTTATATTCAAATCCACACTGGTGGTCTCGCAAAATTTTCGCGACGCTCCTAGGCCGCGGGATCGGAGTTCTGTCTAGCAATTCGGAAAAAAATGGACATTCCCGAATTCCGACGCATTTATCGCCCATAGGCATCTGGCACGATATTTCATCCCTGAAGGCTATAGAAAATGAGACAATGAACAAAAGAATGACCACTGATATCAACGCTGAAGTTAATGTAGTACGTTTTTTAAAAATATTGAAATCCGTTTAGTTAGTTGTGGCGATATACTTATGTTTTGTGGATCCGCCCAGATAACTCGATTTATTTGAAAATTGCCAATAGTGTCGTCATATTGATTATAAATGTGCAACATGTGCAACATGCAACATGCAAGACTGCATTTAAAATGGTGAGCTTGACCGGAAGTGGAAAATAATATTCTCGACACCCGATATATTCGAAAAGGAAACCAAACATTTAAATAAGCTAAACCGAACGAGACAATGAAATTGATATAAATTAAACAGTACTGCAACTATTCACTTACTTATTGTGTATCCGACGGAAATTTCGAAGATCACAGAAAAACACAACAATTTGAACATTTCAACGAACAACCTGTTGGGCCGATGATATTTCATAAACTGATTTACCAATTCGATTACTAATGGAACCATCCGTCGAGAAAGCTAATTTAAGGTAATTACAGCCCCATTTGAATTTATTTCGGCGCACTCTATTACTGAGAATTATAGATTTAGGTTTTACAGCCCTGACCGTTAAGTTAGCAAATATATTCAAATGGAAGTTGGTCGTTATAACGTTTCTTTACTTAAATGGTGTTACAATTTCCCGTTTTATTTGCCGATTAGCAAGCAGTTACCTACGTAATGTTATTTAAAAAAATGTTTAGCACTGCGTAATAGTTTTCAAATGGATTTTAATAAAACTAAACTCAATAGAAAAAATTACAATATAAAATTGTATTTTATGCTACAAGTTTTAAATATATATTTTTCCCAACGAGCGCAACGAGTTTATAAACGTGTTACATAGTATACTTCTGCTATCGTACATAACATACACAGATCCATCAGAACTTCAATGTCAAAATACCAGCTGCATTTTAAATATCTAGCGACCATATTCGTGACTAAAATACTAAAAACGTTCGAATAAGCTCGCGATAGCGTCAATGAAGCCGATGTGCATAATTAGTTTTTTTTTGGAGTTGTGAAAAATGGAGCCAACAGGTATATTTGTAAAGATTAAGAGACAATTTTGTATTGTTGGTGTACTTAAATATATATTTAACTTATAATTATTTAGTGTTATTAAGTAAATTGGGTACAGTGGAAACTGTGAACAGTGAAACTTTAAACCAAATTCCAAGATTTCATTGCAGTAAAAGTTATATCGAGGTATTTATAAATCCAAATCAATCCGTTCGGGAAGCGTTGATAACCTGAAAGAGCCTTTTTTTACTTCCCACATTCAATTTAGGAAATATAGCGCCAGATTTGTGAAAATCTTGTTAGATAACAAACACGTAATCCAAAATTAGTCACATTTCACCACAACCACACAAAATCACTGGTTGACTAAAAGCATTGTTCGCTGCGATTGATGTTTAACTCATCGCATCGTTCAGCGGGTATTACTGAATAATCACGAACCAATCAATCATCAAAATCTAACAACAAACCAAATTTAACAACATGTGTTGAGGCATTATGAAGTTATTGACACTTTTTTCCGAAAATGTTCGGATACTCCGCACCAAATTCTATTAAGAGGACGGTAATAATAAAAATAATATTTTTTCTATCCAAATCTTTACATTACTTTTCGAGCTAGGGTACTTTGCCTTACTTAATGGGCCACGGGTACCTATATGCTGTTTACCTGTAAGGAAAGCAATTAAATCCTCAATTATTTACTGTGCATTCAATGCTATGCGATCCTTGGCATTTCCCTGCATTGAAAGTATTTTAAATTCCAAGGGTATTGGGGTATGTCTTATCACACTCAGCGTTATATTCGATGCCCCATATCGATTTATTATTATTATTCCGCACTAAGTAATCCCTACACGTAGTTCCCTTCCCCCCACATATGCTTCATTTATTTGGTTATATTTATGTATTTAAGTTTTAGGTAGGTGGTGTCTTGTCAAATCTTGTTTCACATGATATCTAGTGATGCGTAAAACTGATATTTAGCAAACTTCAAGAGAATAAAAATTAATTATTAATTATTAATTAATTAAAGTATGTTACGTTTGAAATTTGAGACACCCGGTAAACTCATGTTGATGGCAAAATACGAAAGCGTGGAAAAAAAGGAACGACGCACCGAGAAAAAAAAAGGCAGCGCGATAAGCCGTGACCGCGGTGATCGCTCTTAAATTTTGCACGAGTCATAACTAGGTTGCTTAGTGAACAGAAAAGTTATTCTAGCGTTTTACGGATTTTTCACTTTGCATCCCGCTTGGGCGACTTTTGTGGTACTCTGGTTGTTTTAAGAAGTTCCAAAGCTTATCTTGAATAGATATAGGGTTTTGTAGAGAAACGTCTCGTGTTTTGGGTTTGTTTTTTGTGCTGATACGAGGTAAGTTCTCTTTTTATTGTGTGCGTAGTTCTCGGTAGTTGTTCTGATCGTTTTTTTTTGGACAATTTATTTTAACTCATTTATAAAGGAAAAAAAAAGGTCAATTTCCTTTACAGTAAAAGCATAATGATTTACTTTCAAAATTTAAACTCTTGAGATAAATAAGATAAATTACTTGAAATCAAAAACCAATAAAAAAATAAAATTGTAGTTGTAGAATCTTTATCAATTCGTATCACTTCTTGATTTTTTTTTCTTTTCCATTCTTAGGCGTTTTTCTTTTTTTTGGCAATTTGCTTTTTGTGGTTTCGGACGGATACGAGAAACAGAAGGTTGCTATTTATCCGGAAAAGGCCATGTATTGGTTGATATTATAATAGTACGCCTAGAACATCCGGAAAATTGGGAAGAGCAAACGCCTTAGTTTCGGGAATCTTCGGAATTAACCTGAGAGTTCTACACCGACGTCCGTACTCCAGATAAGTACCACGTAGTGGAATTTGTTTTTTTATTTTCGCATACACGTAAAAGGAAATAAAACGATTCGACAAAAAGGACTGGTGTAGTGCCCAACTTAAGTTTTATTGCGAATTCTATAATTTTGTTTGTACATCTAAGATATTACCTGAACGATGAGTTGACGGTTCCTTTTTTTTTGTCGTTAAGGGGTTACCCTCTTTTTATACTCGTCTATACTCTCGAGAGATTATTTACGCTGTAGGAAAATAAAACGTGTAAAGTTGTTTAATGTAATTACATATTGCGATCTTGTATACCGATCCCAGTGCGGCGGATAACTCTTCCCCCCATTTCGACATTAAATCGAATAACTGAATGTCATGGAGTGTTTTTGTTCCTTTTTTTTTGTAATACCCGTAGCTAATGTCACCAGTGCGAATTAGGTTTGGTGATGTCAGTGTTTTTAGGGGTATATAAGTAAAGAAATCACCTGGCGCCCTATATATAAAAAAAAATACTCTTTATAAGTTGGTACTTAAATCGTGAATTTACCCACTCCCGCTCCGGCTGTAGCTGAGCGGCGCATACCTCTCAAATGTTACCTGGATGGTGATACGGCCACGGAAAAAAATAAATAAATAGGCAAATAGGAACAATATTTCTCGTTATAGGTAACAAGTAAAGCAATATATTGTGGTCTTTATCAAAATTTCGTTCAATTGTCCTGATCTTCCGTGTGAGACTATTTCGGTCTTCAAATTGTTTAATTATATTTTTAATTTAAAAAAAATATCTTTTAACCCTTACAACATTATCTCCGGTTGAATAATATAATTTTATTCTTTGCCGTCTTCCTTCCTCAGTATAACCCATTTGAAAAATCTTAAGTTATTTAACTAACGCTGTAGATCTTTAGTTTTGATTAGTTGTCAAAAGTAGAACATTATTAAAACAATTACAATCATAGAGAATATGGTTACTATCAAGGCAGACTTGACCATTTTTAAGCAATATGGCTATTGTCCAGAAATCGAATGACAGAAATATCTCAAAAACGGCTAAATTATCTACGACTTAAGCTAATAATATATAAGGCATTCGATTAAAAAAAAGTTGTTGCTGTCATTTTGACAGGTTGCGATTGTCGTTTGTTTTTTCTGACATTTGCATAAGATAATAGAGCAAAAATCTTACTTAAAACTTTTGTATTTATACATTTTTTCTATCTTTTAAAATTAACCCTGTAGGTAGGCGTCAAAATATAATGAATAACCCAGTACACATGTTTTGAAATGTTTATTTGTCACAATCTTGCTAAACAATCGTTGATCTGTTTTCCTTACTACTTGATATTTTTGTTGCAAAAAATTCTAAATAGTCCAATTCTGAATTGAGGAACGCTCTGTCCAACTGTTCCATTTTCTAGATTATGGTTGCGACATGGTTGAAAGAACTAGATGTTGATGGATTACCTTTTCATGTAAGTTGAAACTTCCAGGAGCGGTAAACAAATCGTGGGCTGCAAATAAACGGATTTCCTTGTGAAATCCTTACGAAATTAAAAAAAAAGGGCTCACCATTTCTACGCATCAATAATCGTCTAGGCTTAGACTCGGTAGCAAAACAACATATAGGAATTTAAAGGTCGAAACCACATTCTCGATTCCGCAGGAATTTTATCGCATCTCGCCATAAGGCGTTTCGCAATGTTAATTCAAATTTAGGTTCGATTCACAACTTTTCAAGCTGCTGCAGGTGTCCAATGAAATACATGGCGCAGAGGTATTGCCTATGCTCAGAATATGATTAAAAAGTTTTGAAAACGACATTCAGGTGCACGATAATCAAAATCTCGAATTAAATTAATGCGGCATTTAACAACCAAACAGGCCGCTGACAGAAGAAGTTTGGATGCGGCATTTTAACTAAGTTATCTTTTTGAAATCATAACACGCATTTACGAAGTTCAATCATTACGAAAATGTCTGACAAATCTTGAGAATTTGGGATCCAAAGTGAAAATATTTCTTTTTAACATTTCGTTAACGTACTAATATGAAAACGACAATCATTCTTCCATGTTATCCAAAATCCATTGGATATAACTCCCAACCCTGGTGTAAATACCCGGTTGCCCATCGGCACCGCATTGTCTCGGGCCAAATGATACAATTCCGTACTGTATGTATCTAGGCGAGCCGTCAACAAGTCCGACATACTTCATCGGTCCACCGCTGTCTCCTCCACATGAGTCTCTACCATTGTATCCACCGGCACATATTTGCTGATCCGTAATTGGAGCAAACTGTTGGTACACTTTATGACAAACAGACAGTGTCAACACGGGTACTGATACTTTGAGAAGTATTGGGCTTTTGTAACCTAAAATCATTTCCGCTCATCACAATGTCGCTACATATAATAAATATGGAATACAATAAAAAATGATAGAATTAAAATTAGTTTAAACTGGATGTTTCAAACTGCAGAAATTTTATGTAACGGAAAGCCTTCCTAAATAAAAAGTCACCCGAACATTTCCATGAAAATGTGAAATAATTTTCGTTAACTTAAATAAAAATACTACTTTTTCGCAAAAAATTTAGGTCTTGAGTTTTGATTTTTTCAATTACCCTTGTTGTCGTTATGGAAAGAGTTGATCAACAGCTGTTACACTAATTTAGCAACTATTAGGAATATTTGTAATTTTGAAATTTAAAGAAAATTTTGCTAGAACAGAACTTTTTTTCCGTGGCACCCCATCCGGAGACGATAGCCGATTTTCCCGTTAGATCGTCATTAATTTCGCTCACCGGAAGACATATCGGGTTAATATTGACTGAAATCATTTGCACATTACTAGACGTAATACTAAACTAGTTAAAAATTTTGACGATAAAAAACTGCAACGCTGATAAAATCTCTGTATTTGTGAAAATTGGTTTTCATTTTATTATTGGCCTATTATAAATTCATTACAAGAAAAGGGTCGGAGCTATATACTAATTATTCGATACTACTTACAATTACTAAAATTTGCATTATAGTCTAGCTTTATCAAGGCTATATCATTTGCGTATGTCCGTTTGTTATCGTTCGGATGAATCATCATCTTTTCCGCTCGATAATCTTGCACTTTTGGAGCGCAGTATCCTTCTTCGCAGTCCTCCGTGTTTCGTAAATCGTATTCTCCTAGCTTAACTCCAATTTTAAAACAATTAAAATAAACACTCGACTAATTATAAATACCACGTAGTTATTACACCATTTCCAATTATTTATTTAACTCGGATATTAAAACCTATCTACTTCGAAACTTTTTTTGCATTTGCAATTAGGAAATAATGAATCCATTACATCATATATTTAAGTAGCGATATTAACTTTAAGCAACATGAGAAATGATTAACTTTCCAGTCAAAAGATATAAATAAGTACAGTGTTTAAAATGTTGACAAAACAAGATTTCAGGGAAACATTTTCAACATGGAAGAAAGACTCAACAAGCGCTTCGTTTCCGATCTATAGAGTATTATGGTTCGCCCTTAGTAACGATTACATTTTCCATTGTTTCGTCAAAAGTTTTAATTAGTAAGTGAAGACCATGAGTGAGTAAGTATTGCAGATGCAAATAAATTACAATGGAATAAAAAGTTTGTAAACAAAATTGAAAATTGGCATTCTGTATTAGAATTGAAATGCGAAGAAAAAGGAAAATGTGCATTCAAAAACGCTTTAATTTTGAACCAAATACCTCAAAAACCTATAACAAATTAGTGGGAAAACAGATCTAATTTCAACATGGAAGCATGGATAACCAAAATCTTGTTGATGAATTTGTTAACAATAAGAAACTAAATTCTTATAATAGTCGATGTTAAGGGTTGAATAACATTTTTCGGTAACTTCATAATTTTTTTGTTTTGGGTTAACTTTTTATTTTCGCGCTGTGTATACAACACCCCCACCATACCCGACCTTGGTTAAGCCGCGCGAAAAGACAGACTTGCGTGAGCGTCCGTAGTGCGAACCACGAAAAAACAAGCTCCCTTTTGTGACCGGTTCGCGAGAACCCCACGCTGTGTTGTGGTAAATACCACCCCCAACCCTCCAGAAAATACCCCTAAGAAGACCCGGCCGGGCAGACGACGACGCGGGAAACCATCAAGGTGGTTGATTAACCGTTTCGGGTGTTGTATGTCCTACCGTTTTCTTGCCGCTCTTTCTCGTTTAAGTTTTCCCTTCCCCCAACCCTTTACATATTGGTCCTTCTCCCCAAATCAGAATCAGTCTTTTGGATTTTTATAGTCATTCACAAACTTTAGTAATTTTAAATACATGTTCGCTATCGTGAACAGGTTAGCAAAAAACGTGTAAAGTTTGGAGCGCAAAAAAGCGGTTTCATAAACAGTGTTTACCGTCGTTTCGAATTGCGGCCGTCTTTTTATTTCATTCGTTCTAAGCATATTTTTTGCGTGCTCAAATTCTTCTTCCTTTTAATTTACGTGGGTACTTTGTTTCGAGACTTAGGTGTGCATTTGTTTACAAAACGATTTTGTCGGAAATGGATAAATTTATTGCTAAGCGGGATTTAACACTTAGACGCTTGAACGATATATTGTCAGCGGGTCAGAAAGCTCGCGTTGAACCCGATGATGATGAAATTTTATGCAAATTCCAGTGCATGGTGGAGGATTTGCCGAGTTTAGTTAGCACTTTTGAGTCCTTGCAATTGGAAGTAATCTCCTTTGCGAATGATTCGGAAAGAGATCGACAGTTTGCGGTTCAAGATCACTTTGATCAGTTGCATTATTCAATTCGATCTATTGCCAAGCGATTATTTGAGAAAGTGGAACCTAAGGCAGGCCCTCCGGTACCATCTGTAGTTGGACGAGAGTCGCAAAGAAATAGTAATCTCCGACTCCCCCGTATTATCATTCCGAAATTTGATGGCGAATTGAAAAATTGGCCTACATTTTTTGATATGTTTAACACGTTGATCCATAATAATTCTTCCCTTTCAAACATTGAAAAATTTCAATTTTTAGTGTCTTATTTGGAAAAGGATGCTCTCAGTGTCGTGAAGAATTTGCCAATTAAGGATGCCAATTATAGTATAGCTTACAATGCCCTCGTGAAGCGTTATCAAAACGATCGGTTGTTGTTAACCGATTATTGGCTGTCGATCTTTCGGGCTCCGACTATGAAGAGTGACTCGGTTGTTGAACTGAGGAGATTGCTTTCAACATTTTCAGAGAATCTTGCAGCTATCGATAAATTTGATATCGACTAGTGGGATTTTACAAAATTCAATTTGCTTTTAGAGAAACTCGACTCGACTCTCAAGACGAGGTTCGAACTCAAATTTTGTGATAAAGATATTACAACTTTTCAAGATTTGTGTGATTTTTTGGAACAGAATTGTTAAGCTTTAGAAAACTCTTTAGTTACCTCAAAAGTTATTACCCCTACCAAGAGGCTTGAGGTTTCGAAGCGAGTTTCAACCGATACACGTAGACCCACATCTATGATAGCGACGTCTGTCCCTCCGAGTGCTGATGTGAGTTGCACGAATAAGTGTTTATACTGCCCTATGGACTACCATCCTCTGACAAAGTGTGATTCCTTCCTATCTCTTGAGCCCCCTCAAAGGCATGTGTTCATCAAGCAACATCGTTTGTGCTTTAATTGCTTCGCGCGATCCCATGGTGTTGGAAGATGCCCCTCCAAGATTAATTGTCGTGTATGTGGCAAGCGCCACCATACTTTAGTGCATTTTGGAAATGCTACTTACTACCCCCTCCCCGTCAAATGAAGCTCCCCCTGCTCCCGGCAACCAGGAAGGTACTATCCCTAGTCCGGTGACCATGATGACCAATCTCTCCTCTCAAAAGGTCGTGCTGTTTGCCACTTGCTCGGTGTCCGTTTCGGATAAATCTGGCAGACTTGTTACTTGTCGTGCACTGTTGGATTCAGCTAGTCAAGCCAGTTTTGTGACAGATTCCTTTGCGAAGAAATTAGAGCTTCCAAGGTCTCTCTCTCCGACACCAATTCAAGCCCTCAACCAAATGTCGACGTCTGCGTTAGGGAAGGTTGCCCTGAACGTGACCCCCTCCCAATCCCCTGCTCTCCATATAGAGGCTTTAGTTATTCCATCTATTTGTGATAAGGTACCCTACCAGGTGATTGATAAGCAGAATCTAAAACATCTCAGGTCCCTACCCTTGGCTGATCCCCACTTCTGTGAACCCAACGAAATAGACGTGCTTTTAGGGGCAGAGGTTTACGGAGATATTTGTTTGCCAGGATTTAGAAAAGGACAGAACGGTGGCCCATGCGCTTTTCGGACCAACTTCGGATGGGTTGTCTTAGGAAAAGTGAATTCTTTAGAACCAACTTTTCCCTTTAATTTTTATACCACTGTGAGTACTGCTGCTGACCTTTATGTCTCCTGAAGACAAATTGTGTGAGGAGATCTTTCTCTCTACCCATTCCAGTGCCCCTTCAGGTAGATACGTCGTATCCTTACCCTTTAAGGATAAACACCCTTCACTTGGTGAATCTTACCCTCAAGCCCTTAGGCCATTCCAGTTGTTAGAGGCGCGTTTGGCCAAGAACCCAACTTTGCGATTAGCCTACAACGAGTTCTTGAGAGATTATTGGGAACAAGGTCACATGGCACTCGTTAGCGACCTGCCCCCCTCTCCCCAAGGTTACTACATTCCTCATCACGCCGTCTGGAAGCCACATAGCGAACCCCTTAAATTGCGTGTTGTGTTTGATGCTTCAGCCAAAACTTCCAACGGACGGTCTCTGAACGATCTTCTATTTACGGGTCCCAAGCTCCAACCCGACATTGGAACCATTTTGCTCATCCTTCGACTGTACTGTGTGGTTTTCACCACCGATATTCGTCAGATGTATCGTCAAATCCTAGTGAGTGACGCCGACCACCTCTTCCAGCGGATTCTGTGGCGTTTTGATCCCCGCGAAGCAGTGCGAGAGTACTTCTTGTCAACGGTGGTCTATGGACTAAGTTGTAGCCCATACCTGGCTATTCGCGTGTTGCGTCAGCTTGCTAGGGACGAAGGAGCGCGTTACCCGTTAGCAGCCCGTCTCCTAGATTGCCAAACCTACATCGACGACATTATCGGAGGCACAGACTCGTTGGAGGAAGCCCGTGAGTTGAGGGATCAATTAGTATCGCTGCTAAAATTGGGTGGTTTCGAGTTGCGCAAATGGGCGAGCAACTCCCCCGAGTTATTGAGTTCACTCCCCGCTTCACATCATCAACCCGTTTCCCTATGCGGAGACGACAATCCCAGTTTAAAGGTGTTGGGATTGCAGTGGTGTCCCTTACGGGATGTGTTCTCCTACCGCATCCAAGTAGCGGATAGGACGTGCACAAAAAGGAATATTTTGTCACAAGTAGCCCAAATATACGATCCCCTAGGTTTTTTATCCCCGGTCGTGTTGACTGCCAAAATTCTCCTACAGAGGCTTTGGTCCCAGGGCGTCGATTGGGATGCACCTCCCCCCCGCGACATATTCGAAGATTGGAGTTCGTTTTCATCTCAGCTGGACAGTCTTTCTGGGCTGACAATCCCTCGTCGGGTACTGCCTAGCAATGGCGTCCAGGTGGAGACGCACGGATTTTGTGACGCTTCGGAGCGCGGATACGGTGCAGCCGTGTATCTGCGAAGCGTCACAGAGGGCCATATCTCCGTCACCCTTCTGTGTGCAAAGAATCGGGTACCGCTTTTGAAGCGAGTGTCGATCCCCCGTCTGGAGTTGTGCTCAGCGTTACTGCTCGCCCAACTCGTATATTTCGTCCGATCCACTATAGCCTCTGAGTTGACTACCACGAGAGTATTCGCCTGGAGTGACTCCAAAATTGCGTTGTCTTGGATAAAGTCCTCCCCCCACAGATGGACAACTTTTGTAGCCAATCGCGTGTCCCTCATTCAGGACATCATTTCCGCCAGTTCCTGGCATCACGTCGCCGGTTCATCCAACCCTGCTGACTGCGCATCCCGAGGGCTTTTCCCCGAGCAAATATTAATCCACCCCTCTTGGTTCTGTGGTCCCCCTTGGTTGCGTCTTCCGGTGGAAGAGTGGCCCACCTCCGACTTCACCCCCGGAGACGATCTGGAACTGGAACGTAAACCAGTGTTGACTTGTGTGTCCACCCCTTTAGTTGACTCGCTCGGAGAACTGTTAACCCGTTTCTCGTCGTTACGAAAAATTGAGAGGATCCTGGCTTATTGTTGTAGGTTTCTAAATAATTGTCGTACCCCCGTTCCCAAGCGAGCGCTTGATAATTTGTCTTTTGCGGACACATACCACGCCCGCGCATTGCTGACAGGATACGTCCAACGTGAGGTGTTCGCCGGTTTGCTGAAGTGTCTTCGAAACGGTAAACTGTGCCCCAAACCTTTACGCTCCCTAGCGCCCTTTATCGACGAGCACGGTCTCATTCGAGTCGGTGGCAGACTCCGAGGTTCTGCGTTGTCTTTCGACGCAAAACATCTTCTACTACTCCCCGTTCGTGTATCGCAGGTCAAGCCATTCGCGCATACCGGTGTCGATTTCGCTGGTCCAATTTCCATTACCCTTGCGCGAAGGCGCGGCGCTAAGACTCAGAGGGCTTAAATTTGCCTATTCGTTTGCATGGCTACCAAAGCCATCCATTTGGAATTGGCTTCTGAACTCAGCTCAGACGCATTCTTGGCCGCTTTTCGGCGCTTTGTCGCTCGTCGCGGGCGTTGCACTGACATGTATAGTGATCAGGGTAGAAATTTTGTCGGTGCTAACCGGTTGTTGGTACAGTATTGCCAGCAGTCCGCCGACCAGTGTGAGGTGCGCTGGCACTTCAACCCACCCTCCAGTCCTCACTTTGGAGGACTTTGGGAGGCCGGCGTCAAGTCGGTAAAGACCCATTTGTTTCGTGTGATAGGCTCTCAAATCCTGACTTTCGAGGAAATGTCGACAGTGTTAACTCAGGTGGAATCCATACTGAATTCCCGCCCATTATGTAGTTTGAGTTCCAACCCAAACGATTTGCATTGGCATTTTCTGACCCTGGAGCCCCTATCTGCCCCTCCCGACGACCCTTTAGCTAATCTGAAAGTAGTGTTTAAGTACACTATAGCCTTCCCCCACTCCTCTCCCTTTTGTGGGCGTGTCCTCCTTACCCACGACTCTCTAGCTCCTCCCCCTTTACCCATAATCCCTTGAAACTGGCCCCCATTGCATAAGCAACCAGAAATGTGGGGTTTAATCAATCCCCCTCATCTAGTTTGCGATGGCGGCGAAGCCAATCAGAGCCCAGATATTTTCCCACCCGTCAATGAGACTTGATCATATTGTTCGCGTGACCATCTGCACCCTCTAGCGGTTCGAATATAAACTAGTGTTCCCTCTTGGAATAAGATTTTCTTTAATAAGGTAACCCCACCTAGTGAATATTGACCAAAGCATTTATTTTAAAAACATATAGTTCTGCGAATGTGTACCCTCGCGGGTACAAACTGTACTTTTATTGCGCACAAAGGACAGGGGAAATAAAGACGAAAAGTGTTCGATTTCTTTTTTCGGAACTGGAAGCTGTGTGGCTCCACCATTAATATCTGCAAAACAAAAACCTGGTTAAAATTTTCATTAATAAAGTAGGATATTAGAAACCATATACCTTTTTAATTTACTAAGTCATCTACCGTGCGTTAACTTCATACATATTTCCGCATGCTTCTGTTTTAAGGTATCGTGAAATATTTGACTATTTATCTGGGAAAAGTTCATATGTCGAAAATATTATGTGTATGTGGCCGTGGTAGGCTTTCTTTGCTATTATAATTTTATTTTTATTATTTAATATTTATAAAATTAATTTATCTATCTTATTGATGATTTTGATTTTCTTTGCTATTTTATTATTTGTTTTTATTATTTAATAATTTCAAAATTAATTTATCTATCTTATTGATGATTTTAAGATATCGCAGTCAACTTTACTATTTCATCAATTTCTTTTATTTATTGCTGATCTTTGAGGATAGTGTACATACTTTTTATCGTAACTTATCTGTATCTACCCTTTAATTTCCTATCAAGCCATAAAGCAAACTCGAAAGGCATCTTAACTAAAAAGCCATATACTTTAAAGCTGCTGCTACTACTACATGAAAGTGTGTTTCTATGCAATCTCAACAATAATGAAATCTGGACGCTTATACTAAATACTGTAATACTCTTCTCTGCTAACGCTCTAGGAGACGCTATTTGAACCCTGTTCAAAGAAAAACTTCTACAGCCCAAATAACCTCTCTGAACCACACTTAAGCGCATCACTCTTTCACTGTCTTGCAGCCTTCAGATTAATATTCCGTACTAACTACGTATGCCATACACGAAACGTTCTCTTTCTAATTTTTTTCTATGCGCTACATTAACGAACAGGATCTAAACTTTTCTGTCTGTGTATTTTGTTAGCCACCTTAAAAAAAAATAAAAAAAGGTATGCGAACCTAGAGGATATTTTCCATATTTTTCACAAATGGTGACAACAATTAATGCAAGTATTATTTTTAATAATAATCCATCTTTCGCTATGACACGAAAACATCGATTTTTTAATGCTAACTTTTCTCATAGAGCTTCCCTTTAGTCTATATCTGTTCTTTAACTAAATCCCCGCCTTTTTGAAAAACCAACCTCTAAAAATAGTTAATTTTCTCTAATATAAATTTGTACGTTTTCCGCAATATGTGTGAATATTTTTGCTAGAGCATTTAGTTACTTAGTACATGTCCTAATCAATATTTTAAAAATATAATTCTAATGATACGTGTTTACGATTTGAAGATAACGAAACATTCCCATGTTTTATAAATGAGAGCTCACTGCCAAACTACCAAACATCACAGTACAAACTACCGTACTACGCCCCCCTGGACAAAATCAGGTTAGTCAGCGTCATTAATTCTACCTGCGTTAACGAATAGCGTATTGTTAATTAAGGTTTAATACGCAGAAAATTTAAGTAACAAATAATTGCAATGAAACTCACTAACATCATAAATTATTAAAAAAAAAAAAATTAGAACAGTTGGAATTTACTGGAGTAACCAATTGGGCACTAAAAATGGAAAATTTCGATACTCTACTAGGTGCCTACAATAAATTTTATTTTTAATGCAGAGACACAACGATTTTCTAGTTCTGAATTTGATCAGGGGTATATGACCATAGTTTACGCCGACTCTAAAAGGCATGCAGTCTATTGTTTTTGAACGCCCCATTTTGTGTATTATGTTCAAAACAGAGACTCTCTGGGCTTACGAGTACAGCTACCAGCTACTAGTTTCAATAATATTAACACAAAAAAAGTAGGTGGCATTTTTATAATACGTGCAAAGTTTATGTGAAACTGACTGGAAGACAGAGTAATGCACCAATATGTTACTAAACATATTTCCATAGAATTCCGTAAGAGCTTACCTCCAAGTTTTCTCATTTAGTCAGTCAAAGCATCAAATGGGAAATTCCACTCCAACATATGTAGTGGTGGAAATATATCAATTGCCTACGTTACCGATGGTACCCGACTGAAGCTTCTGCGTCTTCTTTACCCCACATGCCTACTTAAAAAGATACTGGTCTAAGTCTCAATATTCCTGTTAAAAAAAAGAGAGGCTCTATATTGCCATAAATATGTTTTTCAAAATTTTACCTGAATGGTTCGTGATTCCTTATATATGCAGTGTTGGCAGCAATGTGGCGACGACTACGCTGAAACTTTCCATATCTCGTGTCCCCATGACTGGTCTGTTTCATATATGAAAGCTCACCTCGCACGGGTTTGAACCTCCTTTAAAAAAAACAGGCAAGACTTATACTTATCATATCAAAGTAATGAGGAACTTATATTTTATGCCAAAACTTATTTCATCACCTCCAAAGGGGAGTAGGGGTTTCTAAAGTATGGTAGGTACATCTTTCATTTTTTAATTAAAAAAGTGACCCAATTACGCGACGTAACTCGATCCGGATCGTTAACGCGTCTCAAGATGGTGGGTTTAGAGATGCTGAGGCCATTAAATTGATTCACTAATACCAGTACATACTGAAACCAATTATTTCCAAAATAAAAAATTGTTAACTGTTAACACAAAAAAAAACTATTTTCTCACCAATTATATTTCTGGGGTCGTTTTCAGAATTTGTCCAACGTAGAGTCCCAAGAGGGTAGGTCCGCAATTTCGAAAAATGTTCATGTCTCCCCACTATGCATTTGTACACGACGCAGGGCCGGATTAACAGCAATTATATTCTTGTCAGTCAACATACAGCCGCCGATTGAATTCTCGGATTCTGCTTTACTAGTTGCCATGGTCTGTCAAATATGTTACTTAAAAAATTGGATATTTTTTTACAAATAATATACCTTTCCTAAAATAATTCCGCCTTTATCAAGTTGCACAAGGGCACGTCAGTCCGCTTTGAAAAGCGCGGCGTATGTATCTTCCAAAATGATCCAAATCGTTAACCTTTAGAGGTTCGACGAAAACAATGTTCATTCAACCAGGCCTTCCGCGATGGCAGTTTCGAAAATTTTTGATTCCTATTATGCAAATCTAAACGGAGCAGGCTCGGATTGTCAGCAAATACACAACTCGCCGATTCAATTCTGAGATGTTGCTTCACGAGTTACCATGATCTGTCAAATATTTTAATTAAAAAAAAAATCTATTATTTGGCAACAATATACCTTTTTAAAAATAATTTCGTCTTTTTCAAGTTCAACAGGACACGTGTGTTCAGATATTTTCAAAATTTGTCCAACGCGGACTTCCCCTCACCCAGTTTCGAAAACTTTCTGGTCTCCCCGCCATGCATTTGTACACGAAGCTGGGCTGGACTATCAGCAAACAGCACCCCCGGTCACTTTTCTTCTCGGATTCTGCCTGACGAGTTACATCGATCTATGGAATATTTAGCGTAAAAAAAAAAATTATCTATTACTTTTACCAAAAATGAAATACCTTTTTTCTTTAAAATTTGTTCCTCCTTTTCGAGTTCGGAATTTTTCGTAGTCTATATCGTCTGCCAATTGTCCAAAATCGTTGGACTTTCAGTAATTTTCAAAATTCGCCCCAACGCAGCCTTCCACGCACGCACGCAGTTTCGAAATCTTTCAGGTCTTCCCGCTATGCAATTGTACACGAAGCAGGGTCGGATTGTCAGCAAACAGCACCCCCGGTCACTTTTCTTCTCGGATTCTGCTTGACGAGTTACATCGATCTGTGGAATATTTAGCGTAAAAAAAAATTATCTATTACTTTTACCAAAAATGAAGTACCTTTTTTCTTTAAAATAGTTCGTCCTTTTCGAGTTTGAAAGGTTTCGTAGCCTATAGCCCTGCCGAAATATCTTTGCATTTGTACACGAAGCAGGGTCGGATTGTCAGCAAACAGCACAAGCGCCACTTTTCTTCTCGGTTTCTGCTTGACGAATTACATCGATCGGTCAAATATTTAATATAAAAAATATCTATTTTACCAAAAATACGTACTCTTCTAAGATAAATTAGCTCTTTTCGAGTTTAACAGGACACGTATCGTCAACTGTAGGATGTTTTATTATTATATTTTCCAGTGTCTGTAAATTAATAAACAACAGAAGCTTCCGAATACAAAAATTTCAACATGAGTTTTTTTTTTTCTTGAAACTTAAAAAGTTCTAACCCCTAAAACCATATTTTTAATACACTGGCGGACGTATGACAATCCCCAAAAATTACCATATTTAAATTGTTACTATTGATATATTTCTATTCCGAACTTAACTCAATACATGCAAAAAAAAACTAGCGAATGTTATTTATTATCTCCGATGGGTGGATGATTGAGAAACGTTTAAATAAATCTACCTTTCTGTCTCTCTTTTTCTATATAGGTAACTCATTCTCTCTATCTGTTACTTTCCACAATCCGAATTTACACTTTGTCCCCAAAAATCTTGTAAAATTTTATCTGCTTAACTTCTTCGCGTTGTTCATAAGGCTGAATTTTTTGGGAGATATATCGTGCGTTATTTCTATTAAAATTCTGTTTCCTTTTTACCTACTTCAAAAACGTAAGCGAGCATTTTTGGTTGTTTTATTAAACAAAAAATGGATACTAAAAAAGATCCGTATCTCCGACCTCAGCCTCCTTTGATCACTCCCCAATTTTTTTTTAATTAAGTATAGAAACCTTGTCGAACATATACATAATACTAGGTCAAAATGTTACGCGGTTACTCATTAAAGTAGCAATTCCGAAAGCTTCTTACCTATCTTTTTCCAGTCTTTTTTGTTTTATTTATCCGTATATGAAACACACAATGAACACAAAACTTAAACTCGTTGGCGATATTGCATTAAGCAACAAACGTGGATAACAGAAACGAACCCTTAACACAAACGCTTCTTTAAACTTCGACTGACACGTGAAACAACCCGCATTCCTACGAAAGACAGGTAAACCAAGCAGGTCAAATTTTAAGCTACCCTCCAGTGTCGTCGTAGGTTGGGGCATAGTAAATAGCGAATACAACAAAGCGGTAATTTATAATAATTTAATTTGCATTTTATTTAACTTAAGTTGTTATGTAGAAAATGAGACATTTCTACAATTAATCAATATACTACGAGTACTTTTCCGCTTAATTACAATTTTGAGAAACAAAAGGAAACGTTAGATTCCATTCAAACTTTTTCGGTTTTCATAATATCTCGCGTTTATTTAGAAGCTAATGGCCTGTGGCCTTAACCAGACGTTTCCAAAAGCTGGTTTGATATTATGTATATAAATCTTAACAAACACGAAAAATAGAGTTATATTGCCACCGAAAATCTGAATTTATGTTTAAAAATGTAACTTCCCGTATTTAAACTATTGCCTGCATTGGCGCCTATATTTTATAGTTTTTTTTGTATCCTATTTTTTGTTTTGCTTGCAAATGTGTGTAAATTTTCGGATACTGAATTTTTTTTTTCTCAAATTATTACAAATTACTCAAAACTTTTGGTTTAATCTTATTAATTTTATATTCAAATCCACACTGGTGGTCTCGCAAAATTTTCGCGATGATCCTAGGCCGCGGGATCGGAGTTCTGTCTAGCAATTCGGAAAAAAATGGACATTCCCGAATTCCGACGCATTTATCACGATATTTCATCCCTGAAGGCTATAGAAAATGAGACAATGAACAAAGGAATGACCACTGATATCAACGCTGAAGTTAATGTTGTACGTTTTTTAAAAATATTGGAATCCGTTTAGTTAGTTGTGGCGATATACTTATGTTTTGTGGATCCGCCCAGATAACTCGATTTATTTGAAAATTGCCAATAGTGTCGTCATATTGATTATAAATGTCAGGTTGCGATAAACTGTTAAAAAGGCAATTTGACATTTAGTAAAAACATGCAAGACTGCATTTAAAATGGTGAGCTTGACCGGAAGTGGAAAATAATATTCTCGACACCCGATATATTCGAAAAGGAAACCAAACATTTAAATAAGCTAAACCGAGCGAGACAACGAAATTGATATAAATTAAACAGTACTGCAACTATTCACTTACTTATTGTATATCCGACGGAAATATCGAAGATCACAGAAAAACACAACAATTTGAACATTTCAACGAACAACCTGTTGGGCCGATGATATTTCATAAACTGATTGAACCTGATGAAACTGATGGAACCATCCGTCGAGAAAGCTAATTTAAGGTAATTTGAATTTATTTCGGTGCACTCTTTTACTGAGAATTATAGATTTAGGTTTTACAGCACTTACCGTTGAATTAGCAAATATATTCAAATGGAAGTTGGTCGTTATAACGTTTCTATAATTAAATGGTGTTACAATTTCCCGTTTTATTTGCCGATTAGCAAGCAGTTACCTACCTACCTACGTAATGTTATTTAAAAAAATTTTTAGCACTGCGTAATAGTTTTCAAATGGATTTTAATAAAACTAAACTCAATAGAAAAAATTACAATATAAAATTGTATTTTATGCTACAAGTTTTAAATATATATTTTTCCCAACGAGCGCAACGAGTTCATAAACGTGTGTTACATAGTATACTTCTGCTATCGTACATAACATACACAGATCCATCAGAACTTCAATGTCAAAATACCAGCTGCATTTTAAATATCTAGCGACCATATTCGTGACTAAAATACTAAAAACGTTCGAATAAGCTCGCGATAGCGTCAATGAAGCCGATGTGCATAATTAGTTCTTTTTTTTGGAGTTGTGAAAAATGGAGCCAACAGGTATATTTGTAAAGATTAAGAGACAATTTTGTATTGTTGGTGTACTTAAATATATATTTAACTTATAATTATTTAGTGTTATTAAGTAAATTGGGTACAGTGGAAACTGTGAACAGTGAAACTTTAAACCAAATTCCAAGATTTCATTGCAGTAAAAGTTATATCGAGGTATTTATAAATCCAAATCAATCCGTTCGGGAAGCGTTGATAACCTGAAAGAGCCTTTTTTTACTTCCCACATTCAATTTAGGAAATATAGCGCCAGATTTGTGAAAATCTTGTTAGATAACAAACACGTAATCCAAAATTAGTCACATTTCAACACAACCACACAAAATCACCCGTTGACTAAAGGCATTGTTCGCTGCGATTGATGTTTAACTCATCGCATCGTTCAGCGGGTATTACTGAATAATCACGAACCAATCAATCATCAAAATCTAACAACAAACCAAATTTAACAACATGTGTTGAGGCATTATGAAGTTATTGACACTTTTTTCCGAAAATGTTCGGATACTCCGCACCAAATTCTATTAAGAGGACGGTAATAATAAAAATAATATTTTTTCTATCCAAATCTTTACCTTACTTTTCGAGATAGGGTACTTTGCCTTACTTAATTGGCCACGGGGTACCTATATGCTGTTTACCTGTAAGGTAAGCAATTAAATCCTCAATTATTTATTGTGCATTCAATGCTATGCGATCCTTGGCATTTCCCTGCATTGAAAGTATTTTAAATTCCAAGGGTATTGGGGTATGTCTTATCACACTCAGCGTTATATTCGATGCCCCATATCGATTTATTATTATTATTCCGCACTAAGTAATCCCTAAACGTAGTTCCCTTCCCACCACATATGCTTCATTTATTTGGTTATATTTATGTATTTAAGTTTTAGGTAGGCGGTGTCTTGTCAAATCTTGTTTCACATGATATCTAGTGATGCGTAAAACTGAAACTTAGCAAACTCCAAGAGAATAAAAATTAATAATTTACGCAAAAAAATGTTTTTCTCCATTTTACTTCAAAGGTTCTACGTTTAGTGTTTAAAAAAGAGTAAAATATAATATTATTAATTATAGTTTCAATATTATTATAGATTTTTTTAACAAATGGGAGACCGAACTTTAAGGATTTTTTAAGGGAATATTTGGTGAAAAATTTCTTTCAAAAATTTTGTATGTAGGATCCGTAATGATATTAAAAAAGATGTGTTAAAGTCAATTTGATCTTTTTCTAGCCATTTTCATGCTTCATAAAATCTCTAAAATCAAATATCAGTGGCGTTTAGTATGTAAAATTCTAATTTCTAACTAATTTAGATAAAGATTAAAAGTATAACATTTTTTTTAAAGAACTTCAACTTGGTTGTTCCAATACACCTATTTTAGCCTGTATACTATTTATATTATTTACAGCAAATAATA